AATATACTAAATTATTTGTTTTTTTGAGCTCTACAAAATGGTTTAGAAAGAAATTGCAAAATTTTATGTTTTCAAGTGAAAAATTAGAAAACCCCATTTTTACCCCATAAAACCCCCCATAAACCCCCCATAAACCCCTGTTCCCATAGTCCGATCATGCTGGTTCGCGAACTCGTTCGAATAAATGTAGGTTTACATGTTTATACCGAATTTCATCAAAATCGGATCATTTTTGCTCGAGTTATCGCGCTAACGGACACATATATAAATAAATATACATATATATATATATATATATATATATATATATATATATATATATGAATTTGAACGGATGGTGTTTTTGGCCTCTGGGGACCTCAAAACGAAAAACTAAATCGGTACCGGGTCCAGGTCTTACCATGAGACCCTACGGTAATAGCTTATTCCCTATATGGGAAATTCGCTAACATGCAAACTGTTTACATTTCAAAACCAAACAAAACAGCTGGGATTTAATGTTTGTAAAACTAATGTATTGACATCTGTTCCAGAATATAATGACATTCAAATCAATCACAATGTTATCCTTATGGAAGGAACTATGAGGGCAGCCCACACCTTTAAAAAGATATATTTCGAAAATCTAAAGCCAGTTTGCACATCTACACACCTAGACGAACATTTTGGTATATAGTATGTGGGGTTAAATCTTAAAACAAAAAAGCCTTATTGTTCACAAAGTTTCATGTCGCGTATTAAATATAGATTAGTACAGTGCAATTAGCTTAAAAAAAGTGCAAACCGGGACATCAAAAAAAAAAGGTTCAAACCAGCGCCAAATTGTTGAATACACTTCCCTCAATATGTAAAAAAAAGTTACACTGATTCGAGTGTCGGGTTTGGGGGGGAGGGGGTGAAAATGGGATGAAAATAGGACTTTTTTACTTTTTCGAAAATACCTCAAAAACGGTGCGTTTTTCTTCAAATACAATGAATTACAAAGATAATCTACATTGAATTTCGAACAAAATGATACCATACAATACCTATCTACTATGAACGGTTCAGGAAATATTGGGGGGTAAATGTGATTTTTTCTTAAAATTCTAAAACATTTGTTTTTTAAATAGAGAAAAACCATGGACACCCATAGAAAAAGTTTCTAATGAGTGTCAAATATTTCAATAGACCTCCCTTAATATGTAAAAAAAAGTGTTACACTGATTTGAGTCTCTGATTTTGGTAGGAGGGTTTTTCAAAAAGGGAGGCTCGTAAAGGGTGCGTTTTTTTATATAATGAATTACAAAAAATTGTTTATTGAATTTCAAACACAATCATACTATACAATACCTATCAACAATGAACGGTTGTAAAAATTGCAACTACATTCTAATAAAATAATAAAATACGATTAAAATATTCATTTCCTTGTACAAAAATGGCCACCATTTCCCAAAATGGCAGCTAACTTTAATATTGGATCCTTCTGTATTTCATGGTATGTTTAAGATATAAATTCGATTTTAACACTTTTTTGTTCTTTGCATTTTCTCTATAAACTTATAAGTTTATGAGCTACAGGATGCGGAATGTACACAGCAAGCCTTTTTTCCATAAGTCTAACACGTTGTAACTCCTAAACGAGTAGTTTTTAAGAGAAAATGTCAAAATTAAAAATATTTTTAAATGTCATTTAAATTCTAAAACATTTATAAACCACAGGGTGTTCCATAAGAGATAACAAAGTTGTCGGCCATATTGGAAAATGGCAAACATATTTTTAAAATTGGAAATCATCCCAAAAAACATCTAAAAAGTAAAGGGGAGTGCTCCATAAGAAGTCAACTCTATAACTCATAACAAAATACCCCCACCGCAGCAAACCTGCAGACTAAGCGAATTTCCATTTACCTGGCTGGATCTCTACTAAAATATTCCCTTAACATTTTGAGATTTATTTTCTATTTAAATAAAATTAATTTAATTTTAATGAGTACTTAGGTTTGCAGCTACAGGGAATGTAATAAGGTGTGTTTTTTTTTATTAAAATATTAATAGCTTAATATGGAATAAATAAAATGGCAAAATTTGATTAAAATATATCCATAAACAAGCAAACTACAACAGTTTATCTATTCTCCATAAGAATAACATAGGAATTTCAAATTTATATTTATTTTATTATCCCCGTAACCGTTAGGCGTAACCTGAAGGCAAGTGAGTGCAGAGAATGAGCTCCAACCTAAAGGTGGGTGAGCATAGCGAACGAACTTCAACCAGGACGTGATTGAGCCATGCGAACGAGATCATCTTGAAAATTAAGAAGTTAAACGGGGCAAAGCCTGAAGGCAAGTGAGCGCAGCGAACGAGCTCCAACCTAAAGGTGGGTGAGCGTAGCGAACGAACTTCAACCAGGACGTGATTGAGCCATGCGAACGAGATCATCTTGAAAATTAAGAAGTTAAATAATCAATGATAAAACACACTATGAATTCAAACGGTAGTAAGCTCACTGTGTACACGTATCAAGGTAGATTTGTTGTTTCAGGTAGGTAAGTCATTGGTTAAACTATTGCTATATATGTGTTAAAAAGGAAAATAAAAAGTGTTACTTAACAAAATTTACAAAATGAATTTACTTATGAATAAAATTCTCCACCCCGTTTTCACACCCTCCTACCTGCAACCGGCAGACAAATCAGTGTAACTTTTTTACACATGTTATAAGGCAGGTTTACCCAACGATTTGGCACCAATAATTACAAACTTGTTTTATGGGTGTCCGTGGGTTTCTTCCATTTAAAAAAGCCACTTTTTTATTGCATCAGAAAAAATCATATTTACCCCTCAATATCTCCTGAACCGATCATAGTAGATAGGTATTGTATGGTATAATTTTGTTCGAGATTTGATGTAGATTATTTTTGTAATTCATTGTATTTTAAGAAAAACGCACAGTTTTTGGGGTATTTGCGAAAAAGAAAAAAAGTCCTATATTCACCCCATTTTCTTTAAACCCTACTTCCCAAATCCGACACTCAAATCAGTGTAACTTTTTTACACATATTAAGGGAGGTCTATTGAACAATTTGGCACTCATTAGAAACTTTTTCTATGGGTGTCCATGGTTTTTCTCCATTTAAAAAACCAATTTTTTTAGAATTTTAAGAAAAAATCACATTTACCCCCCAATATCTCCTGAACCGTTCATAGTAGATAGGTATTGTATGGTATCATTTTGTTCAAAATTTAATGTAGATTATCTTTTTAATTCATTGTATTTTAAGAAAACGCGCAGTTTTTGAGGTATTTGCGAAAAAGAAAAAAAAGTCCTATATTCATCCCATTTTCTTTAAACCCTACTTCCCAAATCCGACACTCAAATCAGTGTAACTTTTTTACACATATTAAGGGAGGTCTATTGAACAATTTGGCACTCGTTAGAAACTTTTTCTATGGGTGTCCATTGTTTTTCTCCATTTAAAAAATTTTTTTTTTTAGAATTTTAAGAAAAACTCACATTTACTCCTCAATATCTCCTGAACCGTTCATAGTTGATAGGTATTGTATGGTATCACTTTGTTCGAAATTTAATGTAGATTATTTTTGTAATCCATTGTATTTTAAGAAAAACGCACCGTTTTGAGGTGTTTGTGAAAAAGTAAAAAAAGTCCTATTTTCACCCCCTCCCCCCTAAACCCGACACTCAAATCAGTGTAACTTTTTTTTACATATTGAGGGAAGTGTATTCAACAATGTGGCGCTAGGTTGAAACTTATTTTTTGGATGTCCCGGTTTAGGTCTAATTGCACCGTACTAATATATGAATACTCATAAGATTAACATGGGGAGCTCAAATTTTACCTTCTTGATATGGCGAATACGCTGGGCTACGTGGAACTACAATTTATCAGTGAACTATAACCTAACTATTTTTTTCGAGTACACAGGGAAGTTGCTTGAGAAACTGCGACTTACGATTTTGGTTCTGGCGAAGATGTATGTGACTTGATGTTTAATGGCAATGTTGACTCTGGTCATCATAGCGTTATGAAACTTTATCATTAACCCCAGGGTGTGAAAAGTACAAAAATAAAAAGAGAAGGTAACCGGGCTTAAAGAGACATACAGTAAAAAAAACGTAGAGAACCATCGAACTAAAAAGGTAAAGAGCAGCGATGGTGTTATATGTGCTCTGGAAGTCCCTACAAAAAAAAACACCAACTCTTTTGAATTGGGGTTGTTAAATTGGATTTATTACTACTGCAAATCTATGAATTTCAAGTCAGAACAGACTAATCATTTTAAGATCCGGGACTTCTTTTACCATCAGATTGGACCGTTAATACGCACTAACATTGAACAAAGTATGTCCAACTTTATATAAACTATACTACTTAAACACAGCTCTTATTCACAGTCACAGAATGGGTCAAAGATTCGTGTAATGCGACCAACTGCGTGATTTACATGTAATTGACTATCCTTTTTCCATACAACAAATGTAATGAAAAAACCACTAATATAGGAATGTTCTTGAACAAATTGTCTCCATAGCATAAGTAGCTTCTTATTAGGTTATCAGCATTGCGCAGTTCGTATACTATTTATTTTTCAAATGAAACTCGAATTAATATAAAACATTAATTTGGGTTTTCATAATTATTTGGGTCTGGACACTGATTGCGTAGTCATTGAACAGCTCGTTTTGGCCTTGAGTACGTCCTCTAATTTCGGAGTCAAGTTTTTCTCTGTAACGCTGGGGCAGGTATTGGTTCTCTAGATGGATGAGAAATTCACCCCATGTGTTCCAATAAATGATTTGTAGTTCCGGTACCAGAGAAGTGCCTTTCCTTGGGGAGAGCAGGAAATAATTCGTCTTCATCAATATTGTAAGCTTCCCTCATTGCGTTTACTCGTTCCTAAAAGAGAACTACGTCCTTATCCCCATCAAAGCAAAGGTTCCACTTTCGGACTGTATTGCATACATTTATGTTTTCCAAATATTTATGACCCACCGACTTGGAATCTTCCATGGTTAGTGATTTCCCCTCAGTGATCTTCTTAGATGGTCCTGGTGGCGGAGTGGCTAACGCAGGTCTGTATTCTCCTCTGGTGAAACTGCTTAACATACGACGATCAGCTCTCACTGTTCCTGAAGACTGAAGGCCAAATTTTTTTAACTCCTCGACTAATTCCGCCTTCTTGAGGATATATATCCAACCTGTCCTCGGGTTCCTCTTTTCTTCCTCGACTATACTTCCGTTGTCCGATTCACTGTCAGACGGCATTTTACTATTCTTCAAAAACGTGGTACTATTTACAATATTTACAGTTTTGGGTTTTCCTTACCCTTTTCAAAAATTCCACTAAAGTCTTCACTTTAGTCCCTGTCCGGGCGCCAAAATCTTTCCTCCAGAGCACTAGGCCTTATCAAGGGTGGTAAGGGTCGATAAGTGAAGGACTGGGTATCTACACTTCCATTTTATTCCATACTATCCTTATCCTAACACATATGTTTCTATGTACAATCGTGTATACATCTTGATCCTGAGTCCGTAGTCCTACTACCAGGCAGTGTCTCCGGGCTCGTATTCAGGGGTTGGGCAGAGGTTGGATCAAGTCTTGCTTGCGCCCTTACTGGCCCGGTGGTCTACGACACTCCTAAAAGATATCCCTTTGGGTCCGCGGTCTAGATCCTTGGCACCTTCACCCCGGAATCCTCGGTCGCCTAGCTGCTGCTGCTCTCCACTGGAGACGGTTCTGGCGTCACTTGCTCAGAAGTTAGCACTCTCTATGCAGTCTACTCGGTCTGCAGTCCGACGTAAACTCCGTCAACACTTAACGTATACGCTTTTAAGGTGGTGGGGGACTCCAAAGTCCTCCCCTCCACCTACGACTACGGACCCGTGGGCTCAACACGCCCATCCGACGGTGCCGGGGGCTCAACACGCCCGTCCAGTGGTACCCGTGGCTCAACACGCCCATCAGGTAACTCGTGGGCTCAACTAGCCCATCCGACGGTGCCGGGGGCTCAACGCGCCCGTCCAGCGGTACCCGCGGCTCAACACGCCCATCAGGTAACTCGCGGGCTCAACACGCCCATGCGTGGGTGCCGGGGGCTCAACACGCCCGTCAGTAACTCGAGGGCTCAACACGCCCATGCGAGGGTGCCACTCAACGCGCCCGTCCGACGGTGCCCGGGGCTCAGCACGCCCATCAGGCCCCACACTGGTGGCTCAGCACGCCCATCAGGCCCCACACCGGTGGCTCAGCACGCCCATCCGGCGGCCAAACACCCTGGTTATATACCCGCCGAATGGTACCCAAGTGATGGGGGGTGAGTACCTTACCTCCCCTATCGGAGTATTTTCCCCTCCTTAGGAGTCATTTTCGTGTCTCCGAGTACTTTTGTACCTTTAACCTCAAAATTATCTTGAGAGTCAAAAACACTTCTTTACAGTGGAAATAAATTGCTAAAAATTTATATTTTTTGGGTCAAAAATATAAAAAAACCAATTTTTACCACATAAAACCCACTGTAAAGGGTTCTCATAGTCCGATCATCCTGGTTCGCAGCCAAATTAATATAGATTTACACGTTCATACCAAATTTCATCAAAATCTGATAATTTTTTCTCGTGTTATCGTGCTAAGGGACACACACACACGTTCTATGTGTGTAACAGTTCTATGGATAGGGAACTGAAGAGTGTTTCTATGTCGAGTGTTATATATGGATGTTGGTGATTTTTTATGAAAATGAGGTCAAGTTTATTTTTACAAATATACATTGTCGATATATATATATATATATATATATATATATATACTAGCAGAGCACCCGTCCTTCGTACGGGGTTGGCATATAAGTATAAAATGCTTATTGCAGTTATACTCAAGCTTTGCGTTTGCAATGGGGGGGAGGAGACAGTTTCATAAAATTTGGTTCATAAATTTACGGTATGATATAGTATAACACATCTACCAATAGCCATAATGTTCTACCATTGCACCTAAACAATAGAAAAAAATAAATTATCAAACATTCGCACAATATCACAAATTATTCATTGAATTAAAAACTCAAACCTAAGGTGGTTTGAGCCCAAACCTGTAAACAATCCTACTTTGACTGTTCTCATTGTGTATCACAGCTTTTTGTTGCTGCTTAGTTCAAATTAGCTGTTGTCATATGCACAAACAAAATAATAATAGTGCTGCACCCTGTTGGGAAACCTTATAACTTTTAAATGCTATTGCATATTATAGAACCAACTTATAAAGTTGAAACAGCTGACTAAATTCTTTTATTCCCTTTAAATATGAATACTCATGGGGAACTACAGACCCACTGGGGCGGAGCCCAAAAGGATTTTTGAGATAAGAATATGCCTAAATGTTAATAGGGAATGTGAGCTATCGTCATGCCAAATTTCAGCCCAATCCGTCCAGTAGTTTATGCGTGATTGAGCAACACACAAACATACACACAAACATACACACAAACTCACAAACTTTCAGATTTATAATATTAGTAAGATAAGATATATGTTTATACACAGCATGAATTGTTAATAGTCAATATGTTATGGGATTCAAATCGGCTGTTCTCATTTTTGACCATAACTAAAAAATTGGGTTTACCAATTCCTCAACAAAAACCCAATAACTTATTATCATGAAGTGTTTTTGAAAGCTAATTGTTTTCAGAAAATAAAAAAATGTAAATTCAAAGTTCTCGTGTTATTTTTATAGTTTGCTTGTTCATAGTATTTTTTTTCTATCTTAGCAAATTTATTTATTTCATACTAAGCTTTAATTGCTTTAATTTTAATTGGTACATAAAGTAATTTAATAAAGTTAATGATTTTTTAGATTATGATTATCTTCTTTTTTAAGTAGCACAAATGACCATATCAGAGACTATAAGTAGCATTGATATTATTGTTAGCAGGCGAATGGTCGACCACCATGATGTGATGTTTGGCTAGGATGGTATTGCTGACCATGGCGACAGTAGCAGCGCTCCTGGTGGTAACTGAAGCAAACTACCCTGTGTTTGATGCCTCCAACAACATGCGACACCTGCTGCTTCCCTCGGACACCCGCATAGGAACTGTCATATACAGACTGAGAGCTACCGACCCCGATAGGGACTATCCGCTCTCATTTGCTGCCACAGGTATGACAATCCCAAGGTTGATTCAAGTACACAGAATAAATTGTTAGATTAATTTGTATATACAGCAGAACTAAATATTTTGTGCTAAATTATAGGTCTTGTTAGTGTATATTCGACTTTCATATGTTAGTTAATGACTCAGCTTGAATTGAGTCACTTCAGTAAAATATATCGTAGATGGTCAATTGATCAATATGAGTATTGATATTGATGAATCCTGAATCCTTTGAAAACCATTTAATCCTGTGTTATAGATTATGGGAGCTATGTGATCCGCATTGAAAGTCTTCAGTGTCACATAAACGCATCGAGCTGTTCAGCAAACGTGTTCCTGGAGCGCAGTGTCGCGCCGGGCCAGCTGTACAAGTTCCGCCTCACTGTGCGTGACACCACGGGCGACACCACAACTGTAGCGGTCACCATTGAGGTCACCACGGGTCAAACTGACATCAACACTGTGTTCCCCCACATCCCAGGGGTTATAATGGTTCCCGAGGTACAAGAAATGTCTAAGATCATTAATAAACACCAAACACTCTGATGGTTTACTTTTAATATTAAATATGGAATGTTGTGGGATTCATCCTTGGCTTTGCTCAAAGTGGACAAAATTAACATCTTTTCGTTGCATATCAGCTTCAACAACATTATGACTGGGACCGTGGCGTCGTCTTGTAATCCAGCTACTTGGAGGTCACAAATTGTGGATATTTATAGGCATATTCTGTAGATGCGATACAACCTGGTGTGGATTAATGTCTGCACTATTGAGTACTACGACTATCCTCAGTAATATCTCAATAATTAGAACAATTCGCAAATTACAAGGCAGCAAAATGTGGTTCAGATTCCACTATAACTGTGTAGGTCCCTTAGTTGCCATTGGCTGCCATGATCTATAATGAACAGTCCTGTCTAAGGAACATGTCGGCCTTAGTCAATAACAAGACTAAAAGATCCCGCCACCCAACCTACACTCATATCCATTCATACTTGGCTTAAAATACCTACCTTCGTATGCTCGCCAATTCAGTTAAAAGTATTTAAGTATGTGGCATTGTGTTCTAGATCAGGGCCGTCGCGTGGGAGAGGGGCGACCTGGGCGCCGCGGCAAAAGTAATGCAACAAAATTTAAAAAAGTTAGATGCACATAACGTACAGTATTTTGGAAATCTATGTATAACCACGAATACTAGTTCTATTATTCGTGTGTGTAACTGAATGTTGAATATTACGTTGTATGCCTTTATTGAATAAATACATATTATTTGATACCAATCACTTTATAATTGCAATGTTTTCCAAATTAAATATCAATATAGTATTGAATTAAATTTAGTAATAATAGCCTAAACAATCAACTCCACTGTGGAGTTGGAGGCTCTGTTCCAACTTAATTATCTAAATATATTGCAATGTCTTAATTATCTTAATATTGCAAGGTCGCGGTTCACGGTGTTGCTCTGTACACGTAGCTGCCGTATTCTATTTTTATTTCGCCCGACCGGCCGACGGTCGACCTTGGGAACCACCCCTACCCCAATCACTCCTTTCTCCTACGGCAGTCGGGCAGTCTCTCTCAGCTGAGCTGCCAGCTTAGTTTGATGAGTGATTAAAGGCGGTGGGGTAGCGGATTTCTACCCCCGGATATTTACCCCCATGAAAAAACGCCTACGTCATTTTGACGTCACGAGGGGTGGGGCCTATACACGGTCGAGAAACAGCCCGCGACTGGAAATCTACCCCCGGACATCTACCCCCAGACATCTACCCCCGGACATCTACCCCCGGACATCTACCCCCCGTGGTCAGCTCTGTCACGTATCGGCCAATATTCATTGTTGTAATTGATTTTATTGACTGTTTTATGTAAATCAACGGCTCTTCGGTTAGTAATGTCAATGTGATATGTCATTGTCTTGTTTAACATTATCTATCTTCCTAATTAAATAGGCTGTAACAGCCCTTTTTCACCCGTAGCTACTTCACCGATTAGGCTACTTCCTATTACTAGAGGGGAATTAATAATGAAATAATTAATTAATTTATTGATCAACCAGTGGCAGGCTTTTTATCAACATTTGATTACACTGTCTTCTTACCTATAGTAATCAGAAAATAGCCTCTTTCAATGATATGTATTAAATTTCACGATCTGTGCTCGTGCATGCGCCGTTAGCTGTTACTATATGTGAAAGTTGTCTAAACATTTAAATCACTGTCTAGAAATGAATCAAATGCTTAAGGGTCAAACTTTTGAAGCCCTTTATCAAAATATTATATTCAATACTAGCTGTGTACCCGTTCTACGCACGGGGATCTTTTAGTATTTAGTTGAAACCTTCATATATAAAAACAGCAGTTGGTTTGCATATTTTCATATAATGCTGGCCAAACTATTATACATAACTTCATTTTATGTTGTTTATTGTTGTTCCGGATCGGTATGACAATCAATAAAAGGTTAAATTACCTTTGTCCGCCGGTCGATCCTAATTTATCCTATTACAGGAGATGCATTTCGGCAAAATTAAATCGCCATCATCAGTCCTAATATAAGGTCTTGAGCTTCCTCATTAGGTGCGTCTTGGAGTTTTTGAAACACATACACGAACTGCACACTTATACACATGACGAATAAAACATAAATACACGGTATGCCTACTTTAATTTTTACTATGGACATGTAGACGCGCGTCGGTCGTGTGCCGAGTCTCGACTGAAAACGCTCATTTAAAAAATGTAAGTTTCCCAGCCATATACAACACTGATTCAAGGTCTTTTTCCCGGTTATCACAACTCAAGAACAATTTTATTCACAAAGAATCTCTATTTTCATTTACGGATACCCTACAAATTATTGCACTTGCGATTAATTAAATCCGTTATGTAAGGAAAAACGTTTTTAATCTTACTTGGTTTGGATTTGCTTTCAAAACGTGTTCGGAAATAGTTGTGGTATTTGTAAATAACATTCAATGTAAACATATCAGTGACAGCTAGAAGAAATAATCTTGATTCGAACAGCTGTTCGTTATTTCATAGATGAATATGTGATAAACATTGAAAATACTTTACAAAAAATCGCAGCACAAAATTGGGTATTTAAGCGTCCGTCATTTCATTTACAAAGTTGTGACGCCATATTTTAATGGCTAAAGACAATCTCGCCAATCCAGTGAATACATTAAAATGATTTGTAACTTGATAGGTACTCTCGTTTTTCAGGAGAAGGCCGCGTAAAATGGCTCTTGGGCCGTGACAGACAGAAGTTTAGATGAGACTTGTTTCGGTTTATTTAATATATAAAATGTAAAAATAACCTAAAAGATTATGATTCTGAGCAATGTACAGACAAAACTCTAATTTTATTTATATAGATAATATAATTAATTGATTGTTGAATAAGATATTTTAGCGTAGTGACGAAAGTTGTTCTGAAAAGCTGTTGTACCAGAGAAACGCTTAATAAAGACAATTTTATCTATTTATTTATATCGTTTTAATTACCATTTTGCGTTGCGCTAGATCTTAAGATTTAAAATTACACCTCGATCATAAAAATCGGTGAAGTAGTTCGGGTGAAAAAGGGCTGTTGCAGCCTATTTCATTAGGAAGATAGTTAATGTTAAACAAGACAATGACATATCACATGCTTAATACTAGATATTAGAGGACAATTACTAACCGAAGAGCCGTTGATTTACTTAAAACAGTCAATAAAATCAATTACAACAATGAATATTGGCCGATACATGACAGAGCTGACCACGGGGGGTAGATGTCCGGGGGTAGATTTCCGGGGTAGATGTCTGGGGGTAGATGTCTGGGGGTAGATGTCTGGGGGTAGATGTCCGGGGGTAGATGTCCGGGGGTAGATTTCCAGTCACGGGCTGTTTCTCGACCGTGTATAGGCCCCGCCCCTCGTGACGTCAAAATGACGTAGGCGTTTTTTCATGGGGGTAAATATCCGGGGGTAGAAATCCGGCGGTGACACACTATCGATCTTTTCCCCGATCAAGCAGGGAGAAGGGAGAAGGGAGATAAATATCAGCAAAATTTTACTCCGAACATTTCCCCGAACATGACCAAGACCAGACGAATTCTACCGAGCGCGGCAAAAGGAAGTTTGGAGAGAGATAGAGAGTGTGTGCGAGTGAGAGCGCGGAACTATCAATGCTAGCGCAGGCGGCCGCTCGGTGCGGCGCTCGCGACGATGTACGGGGCAAAAATGTACCGTGACACACTATCGTACATCGGACCGTACATCGGACCGATCTTTTCTTTGATCTTTCGCCAAAAAACCGCCTCCAGAGCGCTCGTCTCCCTGCTCGGCCTGATGTCTTGTTCGGCGTCTTGATCGGTGTACGGACCCGTGACACACTATCGAACATCCTCCCTTCGACCTCCCTTCTCCCTTCTCCCTGCTCGGTTCGGGGTCTTGTTCGGGGAAAAGATCGATAGTGTGTCACCGTCTTAAGAGTTATCTCATATCTGAATGTGATAACGAGGTTTTCTTTTATTCTGTATAAAAATTCTATTCAGAGTCGATTTGGTTTGAGGTTTTGCATACATTGCATTAATTTCAATTTGCTCTGTATTAATTGATAACATATACAGTGTAGTACTTTTTATACATTTTAACATTTTCTTACATTAGTTGGGATTTGGTTATCATCAATTAAAAAAGATTTTCATACAAAATTTAAGTAATTTATCCCTAATAATCAATTCCAGATTCCTGACTCTAGTATTTTTGTAAGGTGATTCAATCCAATTAGGTGCCTGTTTTTGGGGATTAAAACAAAGATGGCGACATCATCACTCATTCTGTGTTTGGGGGGGGGGGCGCCTGGCAACATCCCGCCCCGGGCTCCAAAAAACCACGCGACGGCCCTGTTCTAGATTATATAAACCCACAGCAAAAATTATCTGCTGCTACCTACCTTCAGTAGGCTATGATGGCACACTACTCATAGTGTGGTGTCAGCATTATAGAAAAATATGATAACACTTAAATTTCAAAACAAAACCGATCAAGAGAGAGTTTTTTGATGGATATTTACCTATTTATTCAAAACTGAGTTAATTTGGAGTGCTTTGATTTAACAAATTAAAGTTTTTCTGTGTTCTCTATTTACAACTAGCTGGCCCGACAGACGTCATCCTGTCCTATTGTGGTTTTATGTCACATGCTCGTTCATTTTCAAGATGAGCTCGTTCGCATGGCTCAATCACGTCCTGGTTGAAGTTCGTTCGCTACGCTCACTCACCTTTAGGTTGGAGCTCGTTCGCTGCGCTCACTTGCCTTTAGGTTAGCTCGTTCGCTACGCTAACTCGCCTCCAGGTTGAAGTTCGTTCGCTACGCTCACTCACCTTTCCGTTGCAAATTAGCTGTTCTCATAAATTAAAAAAAAATATAGTGCTGCACCCTGTTGGTAAACCTATTAACTTTTTAATGCTATTGAACATCACAGAATCAAATTGTTTAGCTGC